AACTAGATGAGATTGTCAAGGAGTAAGTGATTAGAGAAAAAAAGAATCCCAAGGAAAGAGTCTTTGGACATGTCAATATTCAAAGGCCAGATAAATGAGAAGGAACCAACAAAAAAGATTGAGAAGAAAACACCAGAACGATGGGAAAACAAAGAGAGAAAAGAGTCTTAAAAATCAAATGAAAAAACTTATCACAGAGGAGGGCATTGTCAACCATGCTCAATGCTGCTATGTCAAGTAAGAACTAAGAATTAACCACTGGACTTAGGGATGTGGCAGTCATCCACAGGCCACTTAACTTTTCCCTCCACTCTAGCCACACCTTTGCATTTTCCATTTCCTCTGCCGGGCAGGGCTTTACCCAAACATGGCTTTGAAAGAACTGGTATGGAGGCTGGAGGTCAAAGGACTGACTGGAATGGGTTCAAGAGACAGTGGTAGGAAAGGAATTGAAGGGGGGTGGCGCAAGTCTTTCGTGGAGGTTAGCTGTAACGGGAGGTGAGGCAGGAGGAGGCTCTTTTAGGATGTGAGAAATAAAAATATATTCATATGCTGGTGGAACAAATTCAGTAAGAGGGAAACATGATAAGGGAGGGAGCAAAGAATTGCTGAGATAGGTTAGAGGAGACAGAATTAAACACATTTTATCTGTTTGTCAAGTAGTCAACAATTAAAATAAAATCATATACTGATGCAGGAAAATCAAGTAAGGAAGAACAAGCTATCATTTTTTTCAGGGGACAGAAACACTGCCATCACTTAAATTTATCTGGGCCTATTAATTGTGCAGAGAGTGTCAGGGTTATACTCCGGGCTTGGAGTCAAAAGATCTAAGTTAAAGGACCATGAACAAGTTTCAGACCTCCCTTTTTCATTCATAAAATACTGATTAAAAACAACGTGACCTCTACCTTATAGAACTGATATAATAATTAAGTGAAATATGCAAACATTGTTTGTAACTCTTAGGCATGATATCCTTATAAGGCATTTTTAATGCTACGCAATAAGGAAGACCACATACTTGGTCTTACTCCAACACTACACTTTAGCTCTAAGAAGGGGAAAAAAGGCAACAAACAAACAAAAAACTTTGGAAGAATAATTAAATCATGGAAAAATACCTTTCTGGTTATGCACTGTATTGAAAACAAATTCAATAAGCTGTACACGAAGTATGCCTTAATTCCCACCTTTAAAAAACTCAACAACCATTTTGTTTTTGTTTTTGTTTTTGTTGCCCATATCAGAGGAGATACAGCCAAAAAAATTCTTGCTAAGACCTATTCAAAGAGTTTATACTCTTTGTTTTGTTCTAGGAGTTTTATGGTTTCAGGTCTTACATTTAAGTTTTTAATCCATTTTGAGCTTACTTTTGTATATGGTATAAGAAAGTGGTCCAGTTTCATTTTTTGGTATAGTATCTGCTCAGTTTTCCCAATACCACTTATTGAAAAGACTGTCATTTCCCCGTTGTATATTATTGCCTTTGTTGTAGATTAATTGATGATACAAATGTGGGTTTATTTCTGAGCTCCCTTTTCTGTTCCATTGATCTATGTGTCTGTTTTCATGCCAGTACTATACTGCTTTGATTACTATAACTTTATTCCATAGTTTGAAATCAGAGACTGTGATACCTCCAACTTTCTTCCTCTTTTTCAAGATTTGTTTGGCTGTTGGTGGTCTTTTGTGGTTCCATATCAGTTTTAGAATTATTTGTTCTAGTTCCCTTAAAATTGCCACTGGTATTTTGATAGGGATTTCACTGATTCTGTAGATTGCTTTGGGCAGTATGCACACGTTAACGATATACTTCCAACCCATGAACTCAGTATATCCCTCCACTTATTTGTGTTGTTCTTCAATTCCTTTCATCAGTGTCTTATAATTTTCAGAGTACAGGTCTTTTACCTCCTTGGTTAAATTTATTCCTAAATATTTTATTCTTTTTGATGCAATTACAAATGGAATTGTTTTCTTAATTTCTCTTTCTGATAACTAGTGTATAGAAATGCAACAGATTTCTGTATCAAACTAAAAAGCTCTTGCACAGCGAAGTAAACCATGGACAAAACAAAAACGCAACCTACTGAATGGGAGAAAATATTTGCGAATCATATATCCAAAGTATGTTAAAAAACTCATACAACTCAATAGCAAAAAACAAACAATCCCATTAAAAATGGGCAGAAAACTTGAATAAATAAGTCTTCAAAGAAGACATACCAATGGTCAATAAACATATGAAAAGATGCTCATCATCACTAATCATCAGGGAAATGCAAATTAAAGCCACAATGAGATATCAACTCAGGCATGTCAGAATGGCTATTATAAAAAAGTCAACAAACGACCAATGTTGGAAAGGATATGAAAAAAGGGAACTCTTGTAGACTCTTGGTGAGGCTCTAAACTGGGGCAGATACTATGAAAAACAGTATGGAGGTTCTCAAAGAATTAAAAATAGGACTATCATGACCCAGCAATTCCACTTTTGGAAGAAAACAAAAACTCTATTTCAAAACGACATGTGCACTCCTATGTTCACTGCAGCATTATTTACAGTAGCCAAAGTATGGAAGCACCCTAGGTGTCCATCAATAGATGAATGGAAAAAGATGATGTGATGGATGCTTAGGTTGCTTCTGTATCTTGGCTATTATAAATACTGCTGCAGTGAACATAGGAGTGTATATATCCATACACATACACACACACACTCACGCTCACACGTGTATATACATATGTATTTACAATGGAATATTACTCAGCCATAAAAAAGAATAAAATCTTGCCATCTGTGACAACACTGATGAACTTAGAGGTTATTGTGCTAAGTGAAATAGCTCAAACTGAGAAAGGCAAATACCATATGGCTTCACTTATACTATGTGGAATCTAAAACACACACACACAAAATTGAATCGGACAAAACAGAAACAGACTCATATAGAGAAGAAACTAATGTTTGGTGGGGAGGAAAACGGGTGAGGAGGTGAACAGGAATAAGAGGTACAAACGTCAAGTTATAAAATGAGTAAGTCATACGTATGTAATGTACAGCACAGGGAATATAGTCAACAGTATCGTAAAAACTTTGTATGGTGACAGATTGTTACTCTACTCATGGTGATTACAATGTAAGGTCTATAAATATAAATGTTGAATCACTATGTTGTACACCTGAAACTAATATAATACTGTATGTCAGCTCTACTTTCATAAAAAGTAAAAATAACCAACAACAACCATAATAAAACAAAATCCTCAACAAAAATCCTCCAGTTTAGTCAGCTCCGCATGAGGCAAAACAAAGTACACTGCAGTTCAGTGTAGCACCTGAAGCAGGACCACGCTTAAACAGAGAGCGAACTAGTATCTTCCCATGAATCTCTCTTATTCTCCGTGTTCCCCACGACCTGCCGGGATCAACTCAAATCAAGATCCTCGACTTCTTGCCCAATAGGAGACATGAGTAAGTGTTTCAAAGGAGTTTCTGGACTATTATTTTCATGTGTTACTTTACCTAGGAACTGCTAACATAGAGAACTCTGATACAGAATTTTTAGTAGGTACCAAAGTTGAACTGACCTTTTTACTCAGCTCAGAAAACTCAGCCAAAAACTCAGTTGGCCATGAGATCTCACGAGATTTTAAAGGAGAGTGTGAAAGAAAGAACGTGTAGGAGACACACAGCAACACTTTCCTTTAAAATACCTCTCTAGCTCCCTATGCACCACTTAGCGGAGGAGTTGGAGCTTCCTTGGGAAATCATGTGTATACTTCACATATAATTAATAGAAAAAGCTTAATTTTTTCTAATTACTAAGATATTTTTGTATCATTAAATTTATGAAATACTGTATGTCAATAATATATTAGATACTAATTCTTTAGCCAGAATTCTAATCTTCCACTAAAAAACCAGTTACTGATTTAAACAAAATAATTCCCTTTATAATGATCTATGTTACAGAGTTTCTAGGAAGAAATTACTCTGATGGGTGAATATATCTGCTTCGAGTTCCCTCTTAGCACACACTCCAGGGTTATTTTGAGTAAGTGATGTTGCTTAGTTAAAACATATCATTTAAGGGGCCCCGCTCATTTCAAGTATCAGTTTTGATTTGAATATTTTTGAATAAAGTTGTTAGTGTAATACATATTTCTCTAATCTATTATTATTATAATTCATAATATAATGAAATGTCATAATTAACGTCAACATGTTAATTAACCTGTACTGCTTAGGGACATCATTGTGAATACCCGGCAATGGGTAAATGATAACATCTTCGTAACCGAGAATTTGCCGAGGAATGTGGAGCTAGTCGCTGCCTGGGTTTCCGGTATCCTTTTTCTTAGATGGCAGTGTCTGTTCTTACAGCCTTTCTGCCTCCCTTGCTTTGGCAGGAGGCCACCAGTCATTTCTTGCTCCTATCATATGTCTGTTATTTAGCAGGCTTCCCTGTCTCCATGGAGCTCTTTGTTGATTCTAAAGTGGTAGAAAGAGCCCCAGTCTCAAAGTGGGGTCTGCCACAACCAGCGGCATGGCCCTGGACAAACCACTGGATCGCCTTAGGCATCTGCTTCTTTGTCTACATGATGAAACTGGCCTGAATGACCTTGAAGTCCAACCTTAAGACTTTACGAGGAATCTTGCTAACAGCTGAAAAAACTAACATCTAAGCTTATTATAACTGTCCAAACAAAGAACAAACTCTCATAAAAGAACCTCAGAGGCTCCCATACTTTGGTGCATAGAATTTACAGCATCTTATTTTTGTTATCATGGACCTTTGGGTCTTACTTCTAGGTTCTTGTTATGTTTTCATAAATATGACTCTTAAATTACTTCCTTCGCATAGATGAGAATTCAAAATGAAATTTTCTAACACCCATAGAATACATTATACCTTTATGAAAACTTCTGTTTCTAAACGCATTTCCATTTGATATAACAACAAAATGACAGCGCATACTAAAAAGTGATTTACCTATAACTACATCATGACCATCAACCAAGCCAGCAGAGAAGAGCTCCTGAGAAACGCCATCTGCCGTATCTGTCCAAATAGGAAACGAATATGTATTAGAAACAAAAAAAAGAAAGAAAAATCAGCAGTCCAGTACAATGTAAATATACTTTTTTAATTTACAAAAATTACCCACATGTGTTTTAATTCAATGATACAGATTCTATCAAGAGGAAAAATCTTTGTCCTGTACAGATGCATCTGGCTATTCATTCAGCAGAAGTTGTTCAAAATTATTGTCTCACTTTTGGTGAACCAAGAAACTTTTGCCCTTTGGCTACTATTTCAATTAATCCTCAAATGCACCTATAGAAGTTTCTTGGAACTGGTCCCTATGGCCCTGCTTTTCTTTCCTTCTGAGGTCAGCTGCAGCCAGCCATCAATCCTTTTCAATCATTAGTAGCTACTGGGTCAGAATTTATGGCAAAGGTTAAAGAGGCAGCATTTGATAGAACCTTATATCTGGTACAGACATCCTGTGAGTTTGTTGGACTATTAAGATGAGCTATTTAAATGACACTGATCATTTGATTCATTTCCTTAGAAAATGTGGTTGAAGAAAAAAATACAGTTCTCAATGATGAGTGACAGGAGTTAGCAATCTCATAAAGATGGGACTGAATTGGCTGTAGCAAAGTGAACTTGGCTGAAATGACTTGATTGAAAGGCTATGAATGAACATGATAATAGTAAGGGGTCTGCCTGAAGACCCTGTAAGAGAAACTGATAATCCACAATGTGTTCAAAAGAACCATTACGAACCCCTATGTGGTCCCCATGGCCTTCTGATGTTTTCACAAACATCCAGAACGGTAGCTGGATAAATAAGAAACCAGCTCAGCAGCAGGTAGCAACCTAGATGGACATTTGACTTTCTGTGTCTTCTAAAGTCAGGGAAAACGTGAAAGTATAGCTGCTGAATCAAACAAGCATCTAAAAGTAACTGCAGTTTGCTATGCCACAGGCTACCTTCAACACAGTGTTTCCTTGTTAATGTGTGTTTTAGACGTCGTAATGACGTGAGAGTGTGTGTGTATGTGCATGCACATGCAAGCATGTAACTGGAGGACAATTATCTTTCATAATTACTGGGCTTTAAAGGGCTCAGCCCAGTGTCTGACACATAGTGATTACTCAATAAATAAAACTGTGGTGATGATGGAGCAGCAAAGATCATCGGAGACGCATCTTACACTCTTGTGCACTCTCTTTCTGCCTTTCATACATGGCCCGAATTCCCAATTCTCCAATAAAAATCTGAGAGCCAACGTATATTCTTTGTACTTCCAAGAAATTGTGGTATTCTATCATTTCACTCCTTGCATTTCATAATGAATGAAATGAAATAAAGTAAAAATGGAAAAGAAATACTTAGAAATCTTATAAACTATGAAATTCTACATAAGGTGGGCTTATCTTGGGCCTTGTACTTACTGCTAGAAAACACCTTATAGTATTCTCTTAGGAATAAAATGATCCCCTATCACGAAACCTCAGGTAGCTAACAAAAGGTTCTACTGGGGATGTGATCTGGCTTTATGAAGCCAGCTACAACATTCAACTTCACAATCTCCAGCTTCCTGGATGCCACCAGAAACTTCAGGAAAAGAAGCCTATTGAATTAAAGGGCTCACTAGGGCACACAGCAGGCAGTCATTATATTTCTACTGATTGATCATCTGTTAAAGCATCTGAATGTGTTACCATCATCTCTAAAGTATCAGTAAGACCTTGCACTTGAGTAAGGAGCTGCAATCACAGAATGTAGTTGAAAATCAACAGTCAAACAAAGCCACACTGAGGGCTAGCACTCAAACAGAACTAAAGCAAATAACACTCACAAATGGTTAAAGTCTATAGCATCACCTACTATTTTAAAGGACTCCTGGGTACCAAATGAGTCACATTAAAATAGCAAACAGATCGTGCAGGCTGGCCAAAAATGGAAATGTTCCACGTGAGTGTGTGTGTGCCATTAAGCAGTTATTTTGTATGCACATAAGTAATATATCAGTAATAGTTTAGAACAGAAACATGAAGGTAATTGGTAGTTTATTTTTCTTTAAGCTGCTTAACATTCCTAATGTGTAAACAGGTTAAATAATCATATATGCTCTGGTTCTCAGAGTACAGAGCAACATAATGAACACAAAGGGCTTGCCCTTGAAGGAGGGCAGAGAATATTGGATATATTTGTGTTAAATATTCTAGACATGTGTACATATTTATGTGTATATGCAGCACAGACGCCTTACACCTGTGGAGTGCATGCACAGAGGTGGTGCAGACAATGTCTGAAATGCAGGCAGCATCAGTAATCACAGAGTAATCACAGAGGTGCAGTGATATATCCATGGCGTGTTTCCATTACTAACAGCCTGTGCTCACTGCCCAGGGAGGGTCAGTCATCATCTAGAAGCTAACACTATGGCTTCCGTCTGGGCGACAAAAGCGGAGACTCCTATCTAACAATGACAAACGAGGCTGCCAAAGCCAGCGCACAAAGCCAGGTAATACCGATACGGCTATCTTATCCCCCAAAATCCTCCACTCAGAAATTCATTTCTTTGTTAGCTCTTTAAATTAAAATTGATTTTTATTGCCATTGTTGATTTAAAACAATCAGATGAAAAGGACAAACCTTAAAAATAAGAATCCGTTCTTTTACTTACTGTACTCGAAACATTATATCATTACTAGATTTTATCAATGCATTTGACTGATATATATTTTTATATTATGACAAAATAGCTTTTTTTTATTCTCTCCCAAGGATATTTTTTCCATTGCTTTTCAGAGACAGTGGAAGGGGGAGAGAGAGAGAAACATCAATGTGAGAGAGACACATTGATGGGTTGCCTCCCGCACCCGCCCCAACTGTGGCCAGGGATCAAGCCTGCAACCAAGATAGTGCCCTTGGAGAGAATCGAACCCGGGACCCTTCAGTCCGACGGCTGATGCTCTAACCACTGAGCCAAACCAGCACTGTACAATTTCACAGACTGACTCTGAATTGTCAAGGATGGATGTTCCCAGAAACATCAGTTAGCAAATTCATTAGGGCCTTATTTACATTATTTTGTAAAAGGTGCTTTAAATGTTAGCTTAATTCAAATATGAAGGAAATCATTAGAGCTCTGTGCTTACACAGGACCAGAGATCAGAGCCAGTGAGTCATGACCAAGTGTGGTCCAGGACCATATTTTGTTTGGCTGGCAGCGTTTTTTTTAAATCTGAACCTGAATGTATTTAGAAGAAAACTCTCTAGTTTCCTGAAGTCCCCACCATTAACTTAAGCTCCTATAAACATTTAAGTTTGGTTTTCTCACAGGTGATAAGAGCAGAGAGGTCAAACAGAGAGGTTAAGCAGAGAGGGTAACCGATATCACCCCAATACATTAAAAAAAAAAAGCCTACTTTAGGGTTTGCCAAATTTTAGCAAATACCATTTATTTATTAATCAAAGAAAATTTACATGGGGATCTAATACATACAATAAATACAATGTATGTATTTGAAACCAGAGGTCAGGGACAACAGTTCAGTCTTAGCATTTGCATCTTACTTTCACTTCTCTAGGTTGTTATGGTTATAAACTAAACAGTGGAAATAGCAATTTTGTTGAACAACTTAGTCTTGTGGTCTCTGAAGCCTGTTCATAAATGTTACTTATCCATTAATTAACCCAAATCACCTCTCGCCTGGTGATAGATACCAAGAAATATGCCACGGTTCTACGACTTCCAGGCATCCAGGAGCTGAAAAAGGAACCGGTCTAGCCTTTAAGCTGTTTCAATAACTATTTAAAATACTAAAATTGTGTTCAGCTGCAAGATTGGCATTATTCCTACAGAGCTGCTGTGCCTGCAGCAGAGGCCACAGACACTCCCCAACATAGGCTTTGTGCAATCTGAACTGAGTACAGGGGCCAAGTATGTTACCTTTCTGCATGGTATCAGTTTGCTGCTCAACCCTCATTAGAACTGCTATATGCGCCTCACTGCACTCCTAATAACATCCTTTAGACCATGCATGGCCATGCCTGCCAGCACTTCCTCTCATGGCTGAGCTAATATGCTTAATTTATACACACGCGCGCGAACACACACACGCTGTGTAGCACATATCACTGGAATTCATGTAGTCAGTGATGGTTCAGTTGGGCTTCCCTACAATTATCAGAAGTCCTTCCTTCCCTCCCTTCCTCCCTCTTTCCTTCCTCTGTTTTCAGAGAAAGCATTTTTGAATAGCAAATTATAAACATGTGCTTGTAATCAATTTCTGAAATGTTCTTTGTAGTAATAAAATAACAATTTCAATTAAAACTCACCTCTTCCTGGAGTAAACTCAAATCGTATATCATTAAGTTCCTTTCTGGAGTTTCTGAAATATATAACATATAGCACATTAAAATCGAATGAACAGAGTTTAATCAAACTAAATGTATTACAATTTTTACAAGATGCTACTAACATGTAGACAGCATTTATAGTCTTGGGTTACTTCTAACTACTTCCTCAACTGAAAGTGATAGTTATGAAAATAATAAAGGGAGATATTTAATTGATTGAATCTACCTTATCTAAACCTGCTCATATCACAAAATTCCAAAAACAAAATGTTCATTTAATAAATCTACACTAAATTAGTAACCTTAGATATAATTTCATAATAGACATTTTCAGAAGCTTTTAGTTTAGAATAAATGATATTCAATACATTTTTCCTATTTTTCTGAGAAAACAGTACTTTATTAATTACTTTTAAAGTGAAACAAACAGAGAAGAGAGTTGTAGCCATAAAGTTCATGACAGCACTTACTATACTTTAAATCATACAACAAAATGTCCAGAACAAGGTATGTCTTCCGTAGTTAACATTTTTTATCTAAATAGAGGGGGCTTCTGACTGTTGTGAAATTATCCATTGAATATGTAAAATTTTATTTAAGTAAATATAAAATGCTAACATAAATTATAATATATACATACAGGATGGGGCAAAAGTAGGTTTACAGTTGTGAGTTCATGAAACAGTTTATTCTTGAATTATTATTTATTTATTATTGCATTATTTTTCCATACGAACTGTAAACCTACTTTTGCCCCTATCCTGTATATATTCAATCAAAAAACTAAGCGACACTGGGGAAAAACAGAACAAGTAAATAAGATATGAGTTTTTCATTCATATTAATTTCAAAAACTGATAATAAGCGGAAGTGAGCAACAATTAGAATGGTTTTAAATTTTCATAAGAACAGGCAAACGTTATGACTAACTCAACAAATGCTAAATGAACATTAATAAAAACATCTTAAAAAACGGCAGTAGAAAATATGAAATAGTAATTTCTATAAGAACTCAGCTACTCACTCAGCTGCCTCGGTTGTCTAAGACAGAGACAGAAATAGCCTGAACACCCATCTGGAAACACTGACCTTCCGGTGCCTGGAGTCGGATCAAATCCTGTTTAGTACTCCAGCTTTGGTGCTCTACAACTCTGGGTGCTCTCTCCTGGTCTCTACCTACAGTGCCCAGATCATGATGATGCCAACCAGTCTCTGGGCCCTTTTTGTCCATAGTCTGATCTTAGTTCTTTAGGCCCTAACACATTTCGCAGAACTAAGTGTGAGGAGGCCCAGAAAGACAGCAAAGACATGGTACAGACAGAGAGAAAGCCCTTCTCCCCAGTGCCTGGGGAGGCTGGCCCAAGACTAGCACCTTTCCACAAGCAGAGAAGTCAAGAGTCAAGAAATCAAGGGATGCCAGGCCTGGCGTGGCTAAGTGGCTGAGCATCGACCTAGGATCCAGGAGACTGGGGTTCAATTCCTGGTCAGGCATATGCCCAGGTTGCGGGCTCCATCCCCAGTCAGGGGCGTGCAGGAGGCAGCCGATCAATGATGACTGTCTCATCCCTGATGTTTCTCTCTCTCTCTCCCTCTCCCTTCCTCTCTCTGAAATCAATAAAGACATATTTAAAAAAGAAAAATAAACCAAGGGATGCCCGAGCCCAGGCCACAGACATAAGAACATTGAACGACTCTGCATCTCCTCTCAGGTGTCGCCATTTTAACTTTATTGCTACTGCTCTCAGAGATAAAATGGGACTAGGGGACACCAGAAATTCCTACAGCTGTGCTTCTTTTCTGACTTCCTAAGAATCTGAACACTGAAAATTGTGAACTCTCTAAAAAAAAATAGGCACATGACCGACACAGGAAATTGCAGACAACTGTAGATGGTTCAGAGATCATCTTGCACCCTGGAATAAGGGACCCTACCCTGGGGTGGCGTGTGCCATGAGCAATCAGTGCAGCCAGTGGGAAGGCTGTTTGCATGTTGTACTGTTTAAAGAGCCTAGATTTTCTTTCTTTTTTCTTAATAAACTACCTATGTCACCACACATTGACATCAGCAGTTCTCAAACGTTTTAGTCTTAGAACCCCTTTCCATTCTAAAAAGGTATCAAGGATCCCTAAGGAGCTTTTCTTTATGTTGATTCTATCTATCAAAATCTATTGTATTGGAAATTAAAACTGACAAATTTTAAAGTACATACTACTTTACTTGAAAATGACAATAACTAACCCATCACATGTTAATGTAAAATTTTTCTTATGAAAAATTACTTCACTTCCCAAAAGAAAAACAAATCAGTGAAAAGAGTGCACTGTTTTCTGGTTTTGTAAGCCTCTGGAATGTCTGGCTTAAGATAGCTGGATTCCCACCCGGCCAGGTGTGGCTCAGCGGTTGAGCGTCAACCTAGGATCCGGGCGATCGGAGTTCGATTCCCGGTCAGGGCACATGCCCGGGTTGCGGGCTGCAGCTGATCAATGACTCTCTCATCATTGATGTTTCTATCTCTCTCTCTCCCTCTCCTTTCCTCTCTCTGAAATCAACAAAGATATTTAAAAAAAAAAGATAGCTGGATTCTTAGGTTTGCTTCTGTTTTCAATCTGTTGCAATATTACATATCATGTAGCCAGCCACTGAGAAGCTTCACTGTACACGTGTGAAAGGATGAGAGTGACAAGAGGCAAATAATCTTAATAGTATCGTAAGTATAGTTTTGACCTCATGGGCTCCCTCAAAGGGTCTCAAGGACCCCTAGGAGTTCCAGGAACACTCTTTGAGAAACACTGATATCAAATCTCATGAATCAAATCTCACTGTATCCAACAATCAGCCTTTCAGGTGCACAAAGCAGGTATGACTTGTTTTCCATTTTTTAGGTACGCTGTTCAAAGCTTTCCCAAGTTTTACAAATTTGAGGACTGGCAGAGTATGGACCAAGAATTCTACACTGTAAATACCTACCTAATACAAATAGAGATGTTCAGTTCCTTTTACTTTTGAGAGCAGAAACAGCCCCCAAGATTTTCCGTCACCATAAAAAGATCAGCAAGCGCTCGTTTATCTAACAGCCTTGGCTGTGTGTGCTGTATATCAGCAAAGGCTGAATCAGAACTAACACTATCCAGCAGGAGAAAAGGGTCACCAGGAAGCAAGTATTTACAGCGATTTCATAATGAAATGACAGAAGAATAAAAAGATGACGGGAATTTGGTTTGGAGCTCATTTATGTCACTGTTCCTTTTTGCTCTGTTCTTTAATCAGTCTTGTCTAAATTATTTTGTTCTACTAAGGCCATAAGAAGAGAGGTATAAGGACGGTATCCTGAGAATATCATAAGGCACACCACGGTCCTTTCAATGTTAATACCACAAAAGTAATATCCAACACCCATAATCTCTCATCCACATCATCTGTGGCTCAAGGAATAGAGGTTGCCCAGTCAAGTCATTCTTTTCTGGCTCTGAACCTCCAGGACCCACCTTTGAAAAGATCACAGTGATTGATTGCGAGCAGTAGACTTGCCTCATCAGGATGAAATATAGTTGGGAAAATGCCTAATTGGATCTAACCACTGAAGGTCATTCTTTTATAAAGAATTAATCTTTTCAGACTCATGCTTAACACCTTTAATTGAAAGTACATTTACTTTAATTGATACGGCACAGGGTACCCTTGATTTCAGGGAAGCTGAAAATAGGTATGATGATTTAAGGCCAGAAACCAGGTCTGTGTAATTATACAGAGGAAACATTAAAAACTTGAGAGTAACAGCTTCAAGACCCAGGCCACCTTCGATAACTTCTATTAAAAACCCTTTAAACCTGAAAAAAATAAAAGCCCAAAACCAAACTCTTGAATTTGGCTAGACACAGCCCCTCGTTTCTCACTGTATGTATATACTGCGTCACAAAGGCAAATGCCCACAGGGCTCAGGCACGAAATTTTTTAAAAATAGGAGATACAATTACATACATGGTTTAAAAATCAAAAGGAACAGGATTCTGTGTAAGAAACAGCCCTCCCAACTCCTGTCACTCTACTACTGGTTGTCCTCATAGAGATCAATGCTTCCGGCCCTCTGTGCGTCCTTCCTGAGATGTTTTCTGCACAGATGAGCAAATGTACACACACAGTTCCCGCTCGCCTATTCAATATAAACTCAGTAATATACCTTGAAATTTCTCCATATTGGTTCATAGAGAGCTTTCTCATTCCCTGTTTATAGCTATATGGGCATTCCACTGTATGCTATACCCTTCTCAAAAACCAATTCCCATTCTATGAACAGGTGGGTCCCAGTCTTCCACTACTATAAACAATGCCTCAATGAGTGACCTTGTTCTTATGTCATTTTGCAAATATGACTATAAAAATAAATGTCTAGAAGCAAATTGCTTGATTAAAGGATATATGCATTTGCAATTTGATAGATACCGTCAAGTTTCCCTTCCTTTAAGTTGTACCAATTTACCCTCCCACAAGCTATCTGTCAGCAGCACTGCAGGAACTTTAAATGAGTTAAAGCAGGAAGTGTACGTTAAAAAAACACACACACACAAACAAAAACAAAGCAGCCGTGGTTGGTATGGCTCAGCTGGTGGGAGCATCATACTGTATACCAGTCAGGGCACATATGCAGGTTGCGGGTTCGATCACATCTGCAGCGGAGCCAGTCAGCTTGTTCCCTGGAAGTCTGATCATGTCACTCCTTTGCTTAAAGACTCCATTTCCTCCCCTTATTCTTAAAACAAAATTCAAAATCCTTAGCAAGACCTTCCAATACCTGCTTCTGGCTGTCTGCCCACCGTCATCTCTGCTCACCTTGCTGCCATCTCCCACCTCCCCTTCTTCCCCAGACATAAATTTGGGAAGAACAATTTGAATGGAGTGGGGAAGTCAAAAGCCTGGCAGGAGTGGGTTCAGGAAAGGAATGAAGTCAGGGGCAATTCTTTTGAGAAGTTTAGCTGTAAGGGGATGAAGAGAAATAGCTGTTATAAGAGGTGTTTTCATGGGGGTTTTTTAAGA